TAATCTAGATGTGCTGTGTTTGACATAAACCTGGCTAAAACCAAACGATTACATTATTTTAAATGAGTCAACCCCACAAGATTACAGTTATAAACATGAACCTCGTCTGAAAGGCAAAGGGGGAGGTGTTGCTGTAATTTATAGTAATATTTTCAAAACCACTAAGAAATCTAGTTTTAAATATACTTCTTTTGAAGTATTGGTGCTTAATGTAAAAATATATAGTGTAAACGATAAATCACATTTGAGAATTATGCTGGCTACTGTATACAGGCCAGCAGGGCACCATAAAGATTTTATCAAAGAATTTGCGGACTTTCTATCAGAATTAGTATTGGCTGCAGATAAAGTACTAATTGTTGGTGATTTTAATATACATGTAGATAATAAAAAAGATGCAGTGGGATTGGCATTTAAAGACATTGTAAACTCAATTGGAGTTAGACAACACGTGGCAGGACCTACTCATTGTCGTAATCATACTCTAAATCTAATATTATCACATGGAATAGATGTTGATGCCGTTGAAATTCTGCAGCAGAGCGATGACATCTCAGATCATTATCTAGTCTCATGTAAATTACATTTAGCCAAGGCTCCAAAGCCGACTCCGTGTTATAAATATGTTAGACCTATAACTTCTGCCACTAAAGATTGCTTTATCAATAATCTTCCTAATCAGTTTCATCATCTCAGCATCCCGGATAGCTTAGAAGAACTTGATATCGCAACATAAACTTTTAACTCTCTCTTTTCCAGCACTTTAGACGCAGTTGCTCCGTTGCGCTTAAAGAAGATTAAAGAAAATAGTCCAACGCCGTGGTACAACGAGCACACCCAGGCCCTTAAGAGAGCAGCCAGAAAAATGGAGCGCAACTGGAAGAAAACTAAACTAGAGGTATTTCGGATTTCATGGAAAGAGAGCTCGATTGCTTACAGAGAGGCTTTAAAAGCTGCTAGATCTGCTTATTTTTCAACCCTATTAGAAGAAAATAAACATAATCCAAGGTATTTATTTGAAATAGTGGCTAAACTAACGAAAAGGAAAGCTTCAAGCTCAGAAGTGTCCAAGCAACACAGCAGTGATGACTTTATGAACTTCTTCACTTATAAGATTGATAATATCAGGGACAAAATTATAACTATGCAACCGTCTACCACAGTATCGCATCAGGGAGTGCATTGTAGTCTGCCTGAGGAAAAATTTGATTCATTTGTTGCTATAGGAGAGGAAGAATTCTGCAAACTCGTTAATTCATCTAAATCAACAACTTGTATGTTAGATCCTATACCGACCGACTAAGCTACTGAAAGAGATGCTTCTTCTTTGTCTCTAGGATACGTACCAAAAACCTTTAAACTGGCTATGATAAAACCGCTTGTTAAAAAACCACAACTTGATCCTACAGAATTAGTCAATTACAGGCCGATCTCGAATCTAGCTTTTCTGTCAAAGATATTAGAAAAAGCAGTATCCTCACAACTGTGTTCTTTTCTAGAAAGAAATGATATCTGCGAGGATTTTCAGTCCGGATTTAGACCGTACCATAGCACTGAGACTGCTCTCATTAGAGTCACAAATGATTTGCTCCTATCATCCGATCGTGGTTGTATCTCTCTATTAGTGTTACTCGATCTTAGTGCTGCATTTGACACTATTGACCACAACATTCTTTTAAATAGACTAGAAAACTATGTTGGCATTAGTGGAATTGCACTAGCATGGTTTAAATCATACTTAACTGACCGTTATCAGTTTGTAGCAGTAAATGAAGAGATGTCTTATCGATCACAAGTTCAGTATGGCGTACCACAAGGCTCAGTACTAGGACCGTTGCTGTTCACTCTGTACATGCTACCATTAAAAGATATCATTAGGAAACATGGAGTTAGTTTTCACTGTGATGCCGATGATACTCAGCTGTATATTTCTTCAAAACCTAACGAAACTGACCAATTCACAAAATTAACGGAATGCAAAGCTGATATAAAAAATTGGATGACTAGTAATATTCTACTACTGAATTCTGAAAAGACAGAGATTCTAATTATTGGACAAAAAACTTCCACACGTAATAACCTAGAATACTGTCTAACACTTGATGGCTGCTCTGTTAAGTCTTCGTCGTCGGTTAGGAACCTGGGTGTGCTCTTTAAAACCAACCTTTCTTTTGAAAGCCACGTGTCTAGTATCTGTAAAACTGCATTTTTCCATCTTAAAAATATATCTAAAATACGCCATATGCTCTCATTGGAAATGTGGAACAATTAGTTAATGCGTTCATGACCTCAAGGCTAGATTATTGTAATGCTCTACTGGGTGGTTGCCCTGCACGCTTAATAAATAAACTACAGCTAGTTCAAAACGCAGCAGCTCGAGTTCTTACCAGAACCAGGAAATATGACCATCTTAGCCCGGTTCTGTCAACACTGCATTAGCTCCCTATTAAACATAGAATAAATTTTAAAATATTGTTGATTACTTACAAAGCACTAAATGGTTTAGCTCCGCAGTACTTGAGCGAGCTCTTAACGCATTATAGTCCTTCACGTCTATTGCGATCTCAAAATTCCGTCCAGTTGATAATACCTAGAATATCTAAATCGACTGCTGGCGGTAGATCCTTTTCCTATTTAGCACCAAAACTTTGGAACAGTCTTCCTACCATTGTCCGGGAAGCAGACACACTCTGTCAGTTCAAAGCTAGACTAAAAGCACATCTCTTTGACCTAGCATACACATAATACATTATAGACTTCTATAATACAATGTTAGGCTGCATAGATTAGGTCAGCCGGAACTGGGAACACTTCCCTTAAATCTTGATGTACTCGTTACATCGTAAGAAGAATGGCATCTACGCTAATATTAGTGTCTTTGTTTATCCCGAGGTTTTCCCGCAGCCTGACGGATCCAGGCCGTATCCAGATCTGACGAAGGAGATTCGCCTGGACCCGATGACAATGCAGTGCTGAAGTGTCAACTATCCTCTCCCTATCCCTTTCCCACTCTACAGATAAAGCGTTGTGAATTTTGGTTCGCGTACCCCGAAGTGAAAAAATAAAACAAAATTCTGTATCAAAATTAATAGGCAAGACAAGTAGTTTGTTTAGGATATACAAACCAGCGCACATATTTTCAAAAGCACATAACTATAGAATCAATTCTGAATGTGCATGTGAACGCCGTCAGCGTTAATCACAGGTTCGCGTTTAAAGTCTGATCATTTCGACGGAGGTGAATCAATCAAAATTAACTTTAGCTGGAAATAACATTATTCAAGAACCGCTATAAAACCAAAACAATCTCTGTTACCTTAAATTATATGTTTATCTCTGTAAAGCTGCTTTGAAACAATCCATTGTTAAAAGCGCTATATAAATGAAGATGACTTGACTTGACTAACGGAATTCAACTCTGCTGTAAAAGCAGTTCTAAAAAAGACAATAGTGACATTAGTCAGTTCAGTGTTTATTCAGTTCAGTGACAGTAAAATTAATCAGTTATGAAATTAGTTCAATTCAGCCATAAGCAGCTCTACAGAAGACAATAATGTCATTATTCATTTTGAATCAGTTCAATGTTGATTCAATTCAGTTCAGTTCAATAACACTGGTGATGCTGCAAAAAAAACATAAATTATGTCAAATAAGTCAAATAAGCTATAAAGCAGTTCTGCAGAAAACAGTGATGTCTTCTTCATCCAGCTTACCGGTAATTCAGTTCAAGTTTCATTCTCATCCAAAAGTGTCAGTGCAATCAAATCAATAATATTACTGAATATTAAGAGTCCCCAACTAAGCAAGCCAAAGGTGACAGTGTCAAGGAACCCAAACTCTGGCCAAATGAACCATCATTGTGTGATTATGATTCCAGGCTGCATCACAGGTCAGATTGTGGATTGATCATTCAGAATATTTCATTTGGTTCCTCCTTCTGAAAGATTGGGATACGTCACACCAGTATTTGGTGGGAGGAGGAGTTGTAGCTGGTCATAGGGCAGAGGACTTCTCTGGTTCACCACACCAGGGGTGGTCCACTCTGGCCCCCGAGATCCACTCTCCTGGAGAATTTAGCCCCAAACCTAATCAAAAACACTTGAACAAACTAATCTACAGGATTAATAGAAAGCTATAGGCAGGTAAGTTTGATCAGGGTTGGAGCTAAACTCTAGGGCCAGGGCCACTACTCAATTATATTGAATTTAAACTGAACAATTACTTTTTTTGAGTAATCAACTTACAAATGTGTGTTTTGCTACTAAAGTTTCTATAACTGTGTAATCTGTGTAATTTGTTGGTTGAACAATTTCATAACTCAAAAGATGAATGCAAACTGTTGCTTTTGTTTTGAGATGTTGTACAGTATTCTTTTCAAAATTAAACAGAACAATTGATAAACGTTCTCTTCATCAATCCCCAGAAAAAAAATTCTACTATAAATGTAGTAAATGGAATAAATTCGCATTGTGCATGAGTTAGTTCACCCACCAAACAAATTCTGTCATCATTTACTCACCATCATGTTGTTCCAAACCCATAAGACTTCTGTTCATTTTTTAAACAGATAAAACGAGTCCATATGAATCAAGCGGTTCAGTTTTCTGAAGAGACATGATCACTCTATATGCTGAACACATGTAATTTAGGCTTTTATTCACATATAAACATTCCTCAACATTCACATCAGATATGGTAAACAAAACCTCAAGCACCTCAAGCAAACGTTTGCTTGACTTGCAAAGAACCAATAAGGTTCATACTCATGTGTTACGCAGCCCATTTGAGCTCCCGCAAGAACCAATGAGGTTTGTTCTCGTGCTTCAAGCAAGTACGGTTGTGCTTATGTTCGCTGATCAATGTTTATATGTGCATAAAAACCTAAATTAAATCTGGTCATCATATAAAGTCTCTTTAGAAATTTTGGACTAAACCACTCAATTTATATAGATTAGTTTTATTAAGAGTGGTGGTGAGATCAAAGGCTGTTGCAACTCTTTTTTAACAGCTCTGGGCTGTGTTTCCCAAAAGCATTGTAAGCCTAATTTGGTTGTAGAGACCACTGATTGCAATTGTTCTACGATCAACTTAGACTTACGATGCTTTTGGGAAACGCAGCCCTGGACAGACCCACATACAAATTGAGCCCTGTCAAGAAAGTCTAAAAATTTACAAATACAAGGTGATTCATACACGTGACAATTTTCAAATGCAGATTCAACAATCAGTCTGTACATGCAGAAACATTCATAAAGCATCAGTTTACTGTCGGGGATTTGTTGTGTTGCATCACGCCACATGCAGTGCAAGCACAGCATCACTAATAATAATGGGTTCTATTGTCTTTTGCTCTTGCCACTCGTGTCCGGTGTAGAGACAGTGTAGGTTCTGAATGTGTAAATTGCTGTTTGCAAATATGAGATATTAGTGATGAATGTGAATTACCTTATACATTTATTAATATTTTGTAAATACATTAATTCTGAGTCAATTCTAGCACCATAGTTAAAACATTTTCACAGAAGGCTGCAATATATCGTGTTCGGTCTATATACTTTATTTTTTATATTAATTTAAGTTGTGGAATTTCACGGCAATAGGGAAGGTAATTTATTCAATATGTTGTTTTCGTTGTATTAAATAATCAAATATAAAATTAAATATATGATTCAGGTCTATCTATAATTTTGATGATCATTTTTTATTACACTGATCAAAATTAAATAGTATTCTTCCAGAGTGAATGCTCTTTTTTGTAAACCTGAGGAATCCACACTGAGGAACACTACAATTTCTTTTCAGAATGAGTTTGCAAATGACGTTTCAGGTCTGTGTGAAAAGTGAAACTCGTTTCACACTGAAGACAAGTGAAAGGCCTCTCTCCAGTGTGAAGCCTCATGTGAATGTTAAGGTTTCCTTTAAGCGTGAAACTCTTTCCACACTGAGGACAGATGAAAGGTCTTTCTCCAGTGTGAACTCTTGTGTGAACTTCAAGGATTGCCTTGTTTGAGCAAGTCTTTCCACAGTGATAGCACATGAAAGGCTTCTCTCCGATGTGAGTTACTACATGACTCTTAAGGTGATTGCTTTCTGTGAAACTCATTCCACACTGATGACATATAAAACTTTTCTCTCTTGAGTGAATCCTCATGTGACAATTAAGGTTTACTTTACATCTGAAACTCTTTCCACACTGACCACATGTGAACGGCTTCTCTCCTGTGTGAATTCTCATGTGAGTCTGAAGACTTTCTTTTCGTGAGAAGCTCTTCCCACACAGCTGGCAGGTGAAAGAGCTCTCTCCAGTGTGACTTCTCATGTGGGTATTAAGGTTTCCTTTATGTGTAAAACTCTGTCCACACTCTTGGCAGGTGTAAGGCTTCTCTCCAGTGTGAACTCTCATGTGTACTTTAAGGTTTTGTTTTTGAGTGAAACTTTTTTCACACTGCTGGCAGGTGAAAGGCTTCTCTCCAGTGTGAATTCTCATGTGGACTTCAAGGTTTTGTTTTTGATTGAAACTCTTTTCGCACTGACGGCAGGTGAAATAACTGTTGGATTCGGTCTTCTGAGATCCTTTTTGTGGGGAAGCCTTTTCAGTTTGTGTGGATTTTTCTCCAGTAATGAAATCATTATGTTTTTCATACTGATTTGTCTCTTCCATTTCATCCAGTTCTTGACACTCCTCTTTCAGTGCCATTAGGCCTAAAACCATAAAAAAAAACAATGACAAATACAAGTTATTGGCACAAAGACACATACTGTACATTAAACCAACCTGAAAGCATTAAAGCATCAAAACCAACATAAAGCATAAAAGCCTCTTCTAGTGCTATTAGATCTTTGGACAACATGAAATCTTTTGTTAAATGAAGAGATTTCACCATTTCATCAACACAAGTATGGGGTACCACAGAGCTCAGTATTAGGTCCTCTGCTTGTATACACTTCAACTGAGGGACAGTATCATTAGATATCACTTATTATCTTTTGACAACATGAAATCTTTCGATAAATAAAGACATTTCATCTTTTCATCAACACAAGTACGGGGTGCCACAGGACTCAGTATTAAGTCCTCTGCTTTTCTGCTTGTATACATTTTAACTGAGGGACATTATCATTAGATTTCACTGATATGACAATGATACTAGGAATTATACTTCCTTACAACCAGACAAAACTACACAACTTTAAGTTTGCAGACTTATTAATAATATAAAAGATGGGATGGCCAGTCATTTTCTTCTTCTATTAAATTAAAGGTGCTGTCTGTAAGAATGACAGCTAGTGGTCGAAATAGGTACTGCAGTCCAAATTCAAAATATCAGAGATTATTGTTTCTCCCGCCCCTCCTCCTCAGACTCGATGCTCAAGCGAGTTGCCAGTTTGAGGACACGCAACAGGAACGAGAGCAATTGACAATGAAAGCTGAGGAGACTTAGTTAATGAGTTGATTTATCCATGTTTTAATATGCTCTTGTTCATAGAGATTTTGTTCAAAAAGAGGCTTTTTAGGCTGTGTGGAATCTGCAATCTCTGACCCAGTTTGTTTGCTCGTTTCCAAGGCTGCAATACGCTGTGTTTCCTGACAACTGCCATCCCTGGGTGTTGAAATACTATTGGGTGAACTGGCAGTGGGCGAGATCACACAAACCAAAACAAAAACCGACAGACAACACGGAACGGGTAAAATGTTAAGTAAAATAACTGACTGTAGAAGTGTTTTTCAGAGAAATGAGAATGTGAACTTAGCATGTTTCCTAAATATCTGCAAACATATTACATACAAAAAGTTACATACAGCACCTTTAAACCAAAACAGAAGTATTAAAGTGGACCTATTATGCCACATTTTTACAAGATGTAATATAAGTCTTGGGTGTCCCCAAAAGAGACACGCATCCAAACTTTAATCGAGGATAGTAAGAGTGCAAGGGCTTCAGATACTGCTTTGGATGCGACTAGTTTAGTGAAGTCTGTACATTGTTCGGTTCCGGCTGAAGTAGAGCCTGTGCAGCAGGGCAATTGGGTGACCGTGAGACGCTGTAGTCGTGGGACAAAACACCGCTCTTCTGTTCCGATTACAATAACAAATAGATTCTCCCCACTCAGAGAAACACCCACTGAGAATCCTGTTGAATGTGCCCTAGTTATTGGCAATTGTATTACACAAAACGTGAAAATAGAGACACCAGCCACCAGTCACATGTTTGCCGGGAGCCAGAGCGCCTGACATCAAAGCAAATTTAAAAGTGTAAGCTAATGCTAATCGTAAATTCTCTAAGATTATTATTCACGTCGGCACTAATGATGTTTGACTTCGCCAGTCGGAGATCACTAAAATTAACGTTAAAGAGGTGCGTGAACTCGCAAGTACGATGTCAGACACTGTAATTTGCTCTGGCCCCCTCCCTGTTCGCCGGAGTGAAGAGATACTTAGTAGACTGTCCTCACTCCATTGGCTGGCTGTCTATGTGGTGTCCGCAAAATAATTTAGAATTCATAGAAAATTGGAAAAGTTTTTGGGGCAGACCTGACCTGTTGAAAAGAGATGGTATTCATCCCTCCTGGGATGGTGCTGCTCTTTTCTCTAGCCGCTCTTTTCTTTTCTCTAATATGGCACATAGTCTTAGAGCTCAAATATGACGAATTGGTCAGGTCAGGAAGCAGCAAACTGGCTAAATCGACTGTCACTGAGGTCAGATAAATCCCATCACATAGAGACTCTTTCACCTAGATATCATCATATAGAGACTGTGTCTGTTCCCCGAACTAGGAAATACAAAAAACTCCCAAACCCATTTAAGGGTCTCTTTCACTTTGATGTGGCTCTGGCATGAAGTGAGAAGAGATGGGCGGCCGTTCTCCAGGATATTAGTTTTAAAGACACTCACCATTGGCTTGTGTGCTTTGTCAATGGAAGGAAGGAAGGAATTTGGATGGAAAATTAAAATGAGATGAGATATTTTAGAACTCCATTCATAACATCAAAATGGAGTAACACCTCAGGCGGCTACTGGAGGGGCTGTGGCTTGGTGGGAGACCACACGCTTTTATTTTGGGACTGCCTAAAGATATCAGAATACTGGCAAAATGTACAAAAAAATGTCTCTGTATAGATCTACCTCTTGAACCATCACACTTTGTGCTAGGGGGTACTGCCAGCTGATCTTGAAGAGAACAGCCAAACATGTTTGCTGAGAGTCCTTTTAATAGTGAATAAGGTAAATCACGGCCTCCTGGCTGAAGCCACACCCTCCAATGGTTAGACAATGGAGGGAAAGAATCCAAGACGTTTATAACATGGAGCATACAACAGCATTATTACAACTGAAAGCAGATGTATTCCTAAATAAATGGTCATCCATTGCCCTACGTTTTCATTTGATATGATTGATATGTAGAATTGATTCCTTATTCTTACTGTATTTATTTATTTTTGTGCATGCACATTTGTGCACACGTTTATGTTGTGTGTTCTCATTTTCTTTTCTTAATATTATATATTTTTCTTTTATTATTATTTTATTCACTTAATGTAATGGTCATTTGCAATGTAAAAATTACTGTATTATTTAGTACATAGGTTCTCAAAGTGCGGCCCGCGGGCCAATGGCGGCCCGCCGAAACATTTCTGGCGGCCCGCGATAACATCTGTAAAACTGTTAAAACTATTGCTTTGAAAAAATTAATATCTCCGTTTAGTGGTGTTTAGCGGCATCCATAGGCATAAGCGGTAATTACATGGTCCGACCGACCGATCGCACTTGACCTCACTCCCAAGGCCACCAGGAACAGTGGTTGTCTACACAGGAATAGGAATCGTGGCCAACCGAAACCAGCACCACAAATCCCATTGCAATTTAAAAGGGTATGTTGACCAAGTAATCAATATTCAATGTGACTTAATAATAATCTTAACAATGTCAAGCTTATTAATAGCCGCGTTTCCATTACCTTTCAAAATGTTCGCGGGCGCGAACACTTGCATTCTCCTATCAACAGTGGAAACAACTTAAACTAGTCTATCATTTCTGGTCATACAGAAAATAATAATGCATTATTCGCAACTACTTTTATTTGTGTAAACTCATAACAAGAAAACGTGCTTTTGTAAAATAAAATAAAACAATCAGTAGCCTAGGCTACTACGCGCTTTCATGATCTCCGTGAACTGGAGCGCGAGAACTGAAACAAAATATAGCCTGTAGGCTAAAGCTTAAAATGTGCACTTTTAAACAAACAAACTCGAATCGAAAGCAAATACCTGATTATGTAATCCGTATGAAAGGTGGATTTCTCTCTAAAAGCGCATCTGCTTAACAGCGGAGATGGAGATATGTTTTTAGCCGACACTTAGAAAACAATAGTTTATTAATAAACAATTAAAATGCCTCGCTGTTTTTTCAGACGCATTTATTATCATTAGCCTATAACTCAAATCAGGCTAGATCAGACACGTACAGGCTATATGGCTCTTCTCATTCATCACTGCGGGAAAAATATAAATTCCAGGTTCTAATTTGGCCTTAGAAAACCAGTAAAATCGACATGTTTTCCATATTAATTTGTGAATATTTAAAATGTTTAATAAAGGGGCAGAAAGTCATTTAAACAAAAATCTGAAGTCTGTCGATTTTTACTTTTTTTGCGCAGCAGTTGGTGAAGCCAGTTTAAATTAAAATTTTGTTCAACTTTGCGTTTTAAAAAGACAACCGTTCATTTTTCGTTTTTCAGTTACGGGTTAAAAAAGATAGATAATAATATGCAAATCTGCAATAATGGAAACGCGACTGACAAGCAATGATAGAAATGAATGATGATGATGACTTGTTTGGTAAGCTTCTATTTTAAAAGTTTCTTTCTCTCCCCCCCAAAATTTTCACAAGTTTTGCCAGGTTTAGCCTCAGTTATGAATTAAAATGTGTTTATTGCAACTAATGTAAACTGTAGAGATGCAACCTGGTCATTAAAATAATTTCAAATGGGATTTTCTTTTCAGTGTTTTTTTCTTCGTTTTCTCCCCCGCCACTTTGGCGGCCCTCAGTTCAATGTTGGGTTCCTAAATTGGCCCTCACCTATCAAAACTTTGAGAACCCCTGATTTAGTAGATAGTAGGTATATATGTGGTATTGCGGAGAGAAGGATCTTACCTCACATGTATTATTGTTGAGATGAAAGATATCTATGGACTGCTTTTCTGTTTGTAGACTGACCCGTGACACTTTACTGTACCATCATGACTGTACTGTATGACTGCACTTGATAAATGTAAATTAAAAAAAACATTAAAAAGAAAATGCAGACATCACCTACAATCACCCAACCTAAATCCAACTGCTGTGCAAAGGGTGCATTGTGAGGCCCATTCATTTGCTGTCTCACTTTGTGTACACGGATCATGTCTCTTCCCAGCAATATTAAGATCTGATTCTGAGCATCAGGATCTAGCTTCGGGATTAACTGTGCCACAGGTTTTAAGTGTGAATGAGCAAGAGAATTTCAGAAATTCTGCTCATTATCTTGTTACACTCTATTAGTGGTGGGAGATCGAGACACGTCTTACCATCCAGTGTCTCTATTTGAAAGCCTACCGCTTTTCTTCCAGATATTTATATGGAACCAGCACATGTTCTCAACAAATATGGAGAGGGGTTACTTTGGATTATGAATAGCCGAAAGAACTCTCCTTTGGCCAGGGA